ACAACAAAATAAGTTTAACTTACTAATAACTCATAAACACCATCACTATTCCAATAACAACACATTCAGTGTAGGACAACACTCCAATAGTCAATTACATGCCAGGGAGACAGAAAAGTGGGTGAAGAATTTATCTGACAGACAGCTCACCCAGCCAGAGACAGAGATTCTTGCCAGGGGACTGAACTTTGCGGTTGCACCAAGTACAATTCCTCTGGTGGAGATGATCACAGCCACAGAATCAGCCATCCGCAACAACAAAATGAAAGAGGGTGAAGCAGAACAGCTCAGAATCAAAGTTTCATCCTGCCTCAGCAATGCCAAACCACCACCTTCCAACATCAGTAGAGAGGAGAGGAATGCACACACCACTCTTAGCAAGGACAAAAACATCATCATTCTCCCAGCAGACAAAGGAAGGTGCACAGTGATTTTGAACCAGAAAGACTATCATGAGAAAGTTATGACACTCCTTAGTGACTTAACCACTTATGAACCTCTGAAAAGAGATCCAGGAAGTGGTTACAAGAAAAAGTTAATAGATTGCCTGAAAAATTTGGAGCAGGACAAGGCTATTGACCGTTTTCTGTACCACAGACTGTACCCAGGGGAGGCCACACCTAGTCTCTGTATGGTTTACCTAAAATCCACAAACAAGGTGTACCTTTAAGACCTATTGTTAGCATGATTAACTCTGTCACTTACAATGTTTCCAAATATCTGGTGTCTGTACTCATCCCTTTAGTTGGCAGCTCAGAACACCACATATAGAACACCATGGACTTTGTGGATAAGGTGAGGGATGTCATCATGGAGACTGATGAATCAATGGTCTCTTTTGATGTCACATCACTCTTTACGTGCATTCCTGTTGATGATATAGTAGAGGTGGTCAGTTTAAGATTAAAATCAGACACCACTCTGAGCAGCAGGACCACGCTTTCCACAGAACAACTGTGTCAACTCTTGAAACTGTGCCTGCAGTCAACCTACTTCACATATGGGGAGCAATATTATAGGCAGAAACATGGGTGTGCTATGGGGTCTCCAGTTTCTCCTATTGTTGCCAACCTGTACATGGAGGAGGTAGAGAAGAGAGCCTTGACGTCCTTTTCAGGGACACCACCAAGTCATTGGTT